AACTAATTTATTTTGCGTTATTTGCAGTCTATTTCACTAATTATTCAATTAGGGTAATTTTGCTGGAGGAACAGGATTCCTAACAGGATAATGAACAGTAGTAAGTCCAAGTGTCCGGACAGAAACCGACCATGAATTTATCCATGAAAGTTCATGTCCTTGAATTTCCACCTGACAGACGTTTGTCACAACGTTCGTCATCTGTACGTCTGTTTGTACACAAAACTGAACAACTGCTTGAGTCACGATCTTGAGTGGACATTGAGTTTATGTTTTCATGGCAACATTACATGGCAACACTTTTGTGATTTGCAGTTCTGATTTTATTGCAAATTACATATATTTTATGCCATAGAGTAGGGGAGACACACTTTGTAATTGAACCCAGAAAAAAAAATACTTATAATATTGTTATAAATAAATAATTATAAAATGACAACAATAAAAACATAACTTGCACGTTGAACGAATAAACCATATAACAACAATAAAAATAATAATACATAATTGTATTAAAACATATATTCTAATTACAATTAAATTAGTATAATATTTATTTCAATAATAATAATAATTATTAGTGTTAGGAAATAGTTATGATTGATTTATTATTAGTGTTAATAATAATTATAATTAATAATATAAATAATAATAATATAATTAATAATTAAATAAATAAAATAAACAATTAAAAAAAAAAATGTAATCAAAATAATAACATATGTTTAAAAAAAAAATAATCTAAATATTGAGAAAATCGCCTTTAAAGTTGTCCAAATGAAGTTCTTAGCAATGCATATTACTAATCAAAAATTTAGTTTTTATATATTTACGGTAGGAAATTTACAAAATATCTTCATGGAACATGATCTTTACTTAATATCCTAATGATTGTTGGCATAAAAGAAAAATCAATACATTTGACCCATACAATGTTTTTTTTGGCTATTGCTATAAATATACCCCAGCGACTTAAGTCTGGTTTTGTGCTCCAGGGTCACATATATAAATAAAAAGTGTGAGTGTTTCCTGTTCTTCAGATAGAAAGGTGACTGATTACTCATCCACTGGGAGAAAGCCATCAGGAAAACCCACTGTATGTGGGAGTGATGTGAGTAACACTGCTGGTTTGTTTGTGGTGAATTGTACTGGCCTTGACCTCAGAGACACAAGAGCCACTCGCTCATCTGCCTGAAAGAGGGGAGAAATTTAGTGCAGTGGGAGGAAGCTTGTTTTGTTTGGCATTTTCATGCACTTCATAAGATGACATTTTTTGTCCCTGTTGTTCTGTAAAGCGTAACTGACTATTTCAGCAGATTCAGGCATTTCATTTTCTCCGTAGGGATGAATGTTTCAAAAGTCTTCAATAAAACATTGTAAAAATTAACCAAACTTGACAGATTCATAGCAAAATTACAAACTTAGAACAAAAATGTATATATGAAAATTAAAAAAGCACTCAAAAAATAAAAAAATTAATGGTACAGAATAAAACTTTTGTTATTAGTTCTAGTTTTAATGGAAAATATGTAAAAATTATTACAGTAAAATATTTGGGGTCAGTAAAATTTTCTTTCTAAATTTTTTTTTCAAAAGTAACAGTAAAGACTAATGCATTGTTATTAAATTGTTACAATAAATGCTGTTCTTCTGAACTTCCAAAGAATCATGATAAAAACATATCACGGTTTTTACAAAAATATGAAGCAGCACAACTGCTTTCAAGATTGATAATAACAAAAAAATGTTCTTGAACATCAAATATGCATACTAGAATAATTTCTGAAGGATCATGTGACATCGAAGATTGGAGTAATGATGCTGAAGATTCCACTTTTCCATCACAAGAATATATTAAATTTTAAAATATATTCAAACAGAAAACAGTTGTTTTAAATTGTTTTTATTTGAATAATTGTAGAGCATAAGAGATTCCTTTCAAAAAATCTTACTGAATATATACTCCCAAGTGCTCAAAATCTGGATAGTAATCTTTTTCTTTCTTTTTTTTTATAAAGTTGAAATTACACTGACTTCATATTTTATTTCATTATGTAATCTCAGGGTTTATTGTAGATCTGTCTTTTATCCGTATATGTTAGCCTATCTGAGAGGTTTATACATTATCAGTACAAACCAGTTTCTCAACAGAGAAAATAAAGGGTTTTTTCTTACTTATGGAGACTGCTCTGTTGTAAGAAGAAAAAAAAACACTTGCAAACATTAAGACAGTAATAACTGTGGTAAACATTATTTAATAGTACTTAAACATCAACAAAAGCTTTTCATGTAGTGTGCCACAACTCTCATTCTCATATAGTACACACACACACACACACACACACAGAGACTCAACATGCAAAACAAACCTGACCTCCGCAAAAATAAAGAAAACGAACAGACAAACCTCGTGCCAGTTCCCATGAAGGACACACATAACCAGCCCACACTAGTTTACTGAAGTGGACAGACATTCATATACACACACACACACACACACACACACACACACACTCTCTTTCAATGAAATCTCTTTCTACATCAGAAACACATTCAAAGCAGTTCACATGCTGTGCACAAGCAGAGTAGTAACACAAACAGACTGCTGTAATCCGGTCTGCTCAGTCTTTGTGTTGGCTTAAAGGGATAGTTCACCCAAAAATGAAAATTTTATGTTTATCCGCTTACTCCCAGGGCATCCAAGATGTAGGTGACTTTGTTTCTTCAGTAGAACACAAACGAAGATTTTTAACTCAAACCGTTGCAGTCTGTCAGTCATATAATGGAGGTGAATGGGAATCACAGCTTTGAGAGTAAAAAAAAACATACACAAACAAAACCAAATTAAACCCTGCGGCTCGTGACAATACATTGATGTGTAAAGACACGAAAAGATCGCTCTGTGCAAGAAACTGAACAGTATTTATATAGTTTTTTACCTCTGATTCACCGCAATGTC